GCAGTGAACAGGACACTTGGGCTGCACTCTTCAGTTTCTGAGCAGCTCTGCAGACTACAGGGGGGTTGAGGGAGAACCCAGAGCAACCAAGCGAGCATCTCTGCTGCTGCTGCTTCTGGTCTTCCTGAAGCCCTCACTGACGTCACTGCATGCAAACTGACGCCTTTGTGGCCCTTTATGACTCTAAATGCTCTATATTTATATCCCAGTCTTTCCTTTGTATTAACTCCTCCTTGCCTGCATCTGTGCTTTGCATGCCCTGGTGAGCTGAGCTTGGGTGTGTCAAAAGCTGAGGGCAAGATGGGACTATAAAACTGGTGTAGTGGTGTTTTATTTTGCCTTTATGACTTATTTTTCCAGTACGCTGAGATGATGTGAAGCTAATAATCATGCTTAGATACTATAGAAAGTATGTATTCATGTATTGTGGATAAATTATTTATACTCTTATGAAAATTAATATAATTAATAGCTACATGATTGCTCGAGATTGACTCCACTCCTGAAAGCAGGGAGCTGTGGTATTTGGCTTTGCTTTGGTTTTTAAAGAGATGCTTTTGAACTTATGTGCTGTCACATATAACCTACTGGTTCATTCCTGGTGTGTTGTCACCTGCAAGTACCTTGGGGCCTCTGAACCATAGCAGATGCTCTCATATGAAAGGGGCAGTACTCAGTCCTGAAGTCATCCCCTGTAAAGCCTCATTTGGGACCAAAGCTATCCAGTGCCCAGGCAGGGAAGAGATCCTCTGAACGCTTTTGTCATGCCAGCAAGTCTGGAGTGTTGTAGACATGGGATGTGCATACACACAGACACCCCCCTCTATCTTTGTGCCACCAGCTAGGAGCAAAGGCAAAACTGATGACAAACATCTGTGTCTACTCTAGGAGTTATTAGTGCAGGACCTGGCATCTGGAGCATTTTCATCTCTAATTCACCCCTCCTTTTGCATCCAAAGCTGGACAGTGTGTAGGAGAAAAGAACTCTTAGTCTTGGCAGCTAAAGTTTATAGCTAAGTCACCTTAATGTGTCTGAGACCTGTGCCCCTTTTTTAGCATGATCCTTCCCTCTCCCTGTTTTTTATTCACTATATTGCTCTTCACCCCTGGTTATGTCAGCATATGGAGGCACAGCTTATGGCCCTGACAGATGTGATGCAGCACACCAGACAAGTGACTGCAGGTCAGCTCGCACAAATGTGCTTATCTCTGCTAGCACTAGGTGAGCTGCTTCCGCAGGCAGGGCAGCAGCACCCATGCTGCTTGGAGAAAGTGGTGCAGTCATACATGGGTAACTCATAGCTAAATTATGATGGGACCTTAAGTCCAGAGCAAATATTATAGCCCATGACTGACCCATAGCTCCCTAGCTGCCTGCAGGCAGATGAACCTGAGCACATACAGCACATACAGCAAGCTGCCTGGCTGTGACTGTCTTACCTTCTTACTTCATGTGCTGAATTATCCCATAGTAGGAGTGGGTCCAGCTACAGCCCTGTAGTCTGACCTGAACCGTGCTCTCCCATGTCTGTATCCCAGGGGTAATGCAGCATCTCTCATTACAATGTGAATTCAAAAGGCTCTCCCATGTCTCTATCCCATAGATGATGCAGCATCTCTGGTTAAAATGTGAATTCAGAAGGCACACACGTGTGGTGGTGTCTGTGGATAAGAGGGAGGTATTGGGACAAGAGGAGGGGAGGCTCTGCTGGGAGGAGGCTTTTCTTCAGGACAGTGTACGGTCCCAATACCATGTAATACTCTTCTTTAACCTTCTATTTATTTTTGAAGTATCTGTGTAGCAGAGTTGTGCCCAACTGTAGTAACGCTGTGACCATTGTAACCTCTGACTGAGATACCCCAGTTTTGATGTTCACAATACCAACTTCTGAAATAAACGGCTTCCGGGCCCTATTTCCACAAACTGTGACTCCAGAGCCTTTTTTTTTTTTACCCCTTCCTTTTTTTGTGACTTTTCCCCCCTCTTGTTACCAGACCCATTATTATCATCACGTGCACAAACGGCTTGGAGCAAGGCAGTAGTGTGAGAGCAAAGACACAGCTGCACTGCTCCATTCCAGCGTGATGTGGCTGCGTCCTGCTTTATGGTCCTCTTCATCCCTTCACCTTTTTCATCTGCTTCTCAAAGAAGTTTTGGTTGAGCTCATCATTCTTGGGCATGAAGTGCATTCCCATGGGAGCACCCTGCTTCTTAGCAGCATCTGCCCCTCTTGACATGACAGTGGTGGACACTAAAGTACACAGGACTTTCCACATGGTGCAGGAATTTACTCTGTTCAGAGCAGATTCTCTGGTCAGCACTCAGTCCCTAAGTCATGAATATGTTATGCTTAAAACTCTTCAGCTGTTCTTTGCTAACCAGAAATAGGCCTTTTCTGGATGGCGCCATCAGCTGCCCAGAGGATCTGGCTGCATTTGTGAAGTGGGGCTGGTGAGCAGCAGAGCCCATGGAACTCTGATCCTAAAAAGTTAAAATCCCAGGAAGAAGATAGTGGTTATGAGTGATAAATGACTGTAATATCTTCCAGCCCAGTCAGTGAAAAACTGTCAATGAGCCAGAGAAGGTATTTTCCACTGCAGCAAGGAGCTGTCTGAGGTTTGTCCTTTAGCCCAAAGACACAAAGAATGCAAAGATAGGAAAAAAGAGCTGTGCCGTCCCCAGGCCGTGCTCTGCTTTGCCCTTTGCAGACATGCCCCAGTGAGTGGTAGGTATCACTCTTTCTGATACCATGCACATCATAGTCCTGAGCTGCACTTCCCATTTCCTTTCCCCTTCATTTCCTCTTACAAAGCTGAGATGCACATGTACCTCTGCTGTTTACATCTGTATGTGTGGTGGGGCAAATGTGTCTATGTCTGTGCACTAAAGACCTCTGCACGTTTGCGAAGCATGACACCCTTCCCATGGAACCTGAAGAGGTTGGGCAGTTTCTGCTGCAAGACTGAGGAGTTCCTTGCTGCTGTTAAAGGCATGTCCTGCTTGCAAGCACCAGGAAGCTGGTTGGCTCAGATGTTGCTCAGCCTGATTAAGCTGGTCGGGATTGTTGATGTCTGCCTCGTACTAGCAGATAAGTAGTTCCATAAGATACTTGAAACGTAATCTTAACTCTAGACTGCTGCTTCTGGACGTGCTAGCACTGCATAATCTTGCTGCATCACCTCTTTAATCTCCCAGAGAGAATGGCATATGCATAAATCACCTCACAGCTCAAGGTTGAGATATATGTATTCCTTCACACTCTCCTTTACTGCTGGCTTTCCTCTGACAGAAGAGAAGCCACGTTACTGCTCTCATCTGTCTCTGTTTTCATCAAGTGAGATTAACCCTCCAAATGCTTCAGCTTGATTGTATGCTGCAAAGCCCGATCTATTGTAAATTATATATGCTTCATACTTGGTTAGTACTTCATCATGACTTATTTGACAAGTGTATGACCTATTTCTAACTAAACAAAAGCTTACAGGAGATCCCTGGGAGATCTTGTTCATATTCTAGACTTTCCTTCCTGTACTTTGTTAAACTGTGCAAAAAATACAAAATTCCTATATTTTCAGCCTTCTTTGAATGCTCATTTTGATGGTATATGGACACAAGTGAGACTGCAAAGCTGACCCCTCAGTTCTGATGCAATACAGTCAGCTAAGCCTTACGTACAGACTAAGATCAGTACATGATTACAAGGTGGAATGTAAAGAAGGTAAAAATAGGAGTGTTTGACAGATTGTTTAGCTTAGGTTGATCTTTAAATCTTAAACCATTGCAAAAGTCGTTGAGGAAATGGGGTATCAGACACCAATTGCATGGTTTATTTACATATAGTAACTGAATGTGAAATACTGTGAGGACTTTCAAATACAAAGTCCTTTCACTCAGTGGAACAGAAACCAATTTGTCTCTGTAGCACTTCAAAATCAAGCTCGCTGGTAGAGACACCCTGAGTACATTCTGTCCTCTCAGGTCGTGTGTTCTCAAGTAGGATGTGCTGTTCTACAGCTCCAGTCTGGCACTTGGAAAGAGCCCATTGAAAACAACTCACAGACCTAGAAATACAATGGCCATTACTATTGCCAATTGACATTTTCTCCAGTTATTGTAATAGAGATTGGTTTTTACTCACTAAAAGGAAGACAATTCCTCTATTATATGCTACAGGAGCACAGTTCCCTGTGAATGGCTGTGCTAGTACATACTTGGGGCTAATTATGATATGAGAAAGGAAAATGTAATGCTTTAAGTATCAATTTAGGGTTGGAAAACCCACGTTTGTGTCTGTCTTCTAGCATAGGAGTTTTATGTGACTCTCAACAAGTCACTTAGCTTCCTTTTGCTTCTCTTTCCTATCTAAAATGAGGGCAGTGAGTCTTCATTACCTCAGGAAGTATAATAAAAGCAAATGTATTGAAGAGGCTTGAATGTTAGTTTTAAAACAGAGCTCTTGTGTCTACAGCTTTATCTAGGTACACATAAACATACTTTTCTCTAGACTGGCATCAGAGGTAAGATGTCAGTTCTGGTTTCTAAAGACAAAAAGGCTTGTAGATAGCCACTTGCTTCCCAGTCATGACATTTCTAAGCATGTTGTTTGCATGTGCACACAACAAAAGGTGTACTCCATCATTAGTCCTGTGTGTATCTGGACTTTGTAAAGCATTCTGGTGGGCTCTGGGTAATTTCCTCATGCAGGGAGAGAACCAAGGTCCTATGTCTGTTTGCACCTGAGTTCTTAAACTCTTCCACCATTTTTCACACCCTCTCTTGTGGGGCAGGCTGGTGCACAGTGACTTCAGTAAGGTTGAGCAGTTCTTCCTTCCCTGGCTTCAGAAGTGTAGGAACATTCCCATAAACTCCTGAGCATTCTGCATCTTGCACTCCTGCACTGAAAAATGAGTCCAAACCTGATAATGCAAGAAGTACAACTGAGAGAGGGGTTACTGGAAGGTTCTCATTGCTAAACGTCTGTCATACGTGTCATTTGCAGGTACCTTTCTGGGGATTCCATTACTCTCTTCCCCAGCGGCACTGGGACTGGCTTCACTTCCCCTGCTACATCTCTCTTTGTCCCAACGCCACCCAGTATTCTCCAGCTGACAAACCAGCAGCTCTTCAGGTCCCCACGCAGATCTTCTCCTTCCTCTCTTCCTGGTCGTCTCAACAGGGCACTCTCACTGGGTACCATCCCCTCCCTGGCCAGAGCAGGTAAGTGTGTGCCTAATGGTGCAACACTGCAGAAGGAAGCAGGCTGGGAGGTATCCATATAGAATCATAGAATAGTTTGGGTTGGAAAGGACCTACAAAGGTCTAGTCCAAGCTCTCTGCAATGAGCAGGGACATCATGTTAAAACCCTGTTTAGGGATTGCTGCTCCGGTGGCACAGAGCACTGGTAATCTGGGTTTTGGCATTAAGATACTATGCAGCCTACTCTTGCCACCCTGGTGAAACAGTCTCAGAGAGCGTTTGCCTGTTGTGTGCTTACTGAAACCCAGAGGCTTCTGCAGGCATTTGTGGTGGTACAGCACCAGCTACAGTGTGTGGGAAAGAGACAGAAGGAGCAGTTAGAAGTGAGAATGGAAAAGAGCAGTGTTAGGAGGTGACTGGGAGCATGAGGGTAACTGATCTGGCAAGAGTGGTTTCTCCTCCCTTAGATGCTTTGTGTAGCTTGCTGAAGGAAGCAGAGCTAAAGGCAGGCTCTTCATAAAGTCTGTATTTTACATGCATTAGCACAACTATTGAAACTGCTGTAGAGACCCCATTTCCTCCTGTTTGTAAGGGCTCTGTGTGATCTAGGAATGATTTCTAGGCCTAAGGAAAGACTCAGTATCTCAGTAAGCCCTCAGTTTTGCTGTGTTAAAACTAACAGACGGAAAACAGCATTCAAGTGCTAAGCTTTCCTGTGTCTCTAACTGATGCATGGAATCAGACTCTGTAGCTCAAGGAGAGTTATAAAGCAGGTAACTGATTGGCTCCTGCTGCTGGCAGTTTTGCCAGCTCCTCTAAAAGAGCAAGAGAAAGACGAGCCAGGCAGCCCAGCAGCTTTGGGCACAGCCTGCACCCTCCTAGTTCCCAAACTGGCATAGGAAGGGCAGGTGTGAATGCACCAGATGGCTGGGATCCCTCCTGCCTGTAGAGCCACGCTTGTGAGGTCTGTGCCTGCTTTTGCTCACTGCAAAGCCAGACAGACTGGAGAGAGCTGCTGGGGCTGAGTGTCAAAGGATACAACCATATCTTCACCTTCTTCCTTCCCAAGCAGAGGCACCCCAGCTGTGATACAGTCACAGGGTAGATAATGTGAACTTAATGTGGTATTCAGGAGTCATCTAGCAGCTTTGCTAGGAGCAGGTGAAGAAGCACCTTTGGAAGGTGCTCCATCCTTCTGTTGCTGCTTTCACAGCAACTAAATGGTGTGTATATTTGTCATCTACTCCTGTGCAACATTAGGTAAATTATTATAAGCCAGTTCTGTGGCAGCTGGGAAAAGTGGATTATCCTGGTGCTGGCATGTAGCTTACCCAGGAAAACAGGGATGTTTTTCCTGCCTGCATTTACCTCCCCTTCTGAGACAGATGACAAGCTGGTGCAGTTACATTGAGGGGGGGAGGCTGAGCCAGCTGGGTTCAAACTGTTTCATTTTGCACTTTAGATTCTGGCTACTTGTTCAGTGGAAGTCGCCCAGCCTCACAGTCATCTCAGTCCAAGGAATCTCCTACATCAGGTAATGCACGAGGCCTTCCAGAGCAACTCTGCAGGATTTGTAGGGAGTGGGTTGAAACACATGATCCAAGTTTAATTCTTTCCTCCCTGCTCACATCCCAGTGCAAATGTCAGGTTTGCTGTTAGAAGTGCTGCAGGGGGGGTTCCAGCTAAGAGTGGGATTGCATTGAAATAAGGTGCTGGATGTGTTGGAAGTCCTGGGAGAGCTCACACTGAACCCAGTGAGACAAAGCCAGGATCCCTTCCCTGCTCTACAGCTGAGTTGAGACTGCTTTGGCAGGAGACTAAACTGTTCCCAGGGCAGCTCTTCTGTTGCACTTTCCCAGCCAGAGGAGCTGCTGCCCTGTCTGCTCTGCCCTTTTGCTCCCGTGTCCTCCAGTGACCTGTCTGTTGCCCTCTTGACCCCAGGTGGATCCTTTGGCTGTTTGTGCTGCCTAAGCATTTGCTGCTGGAAATACAGGCACAGCCTGAGCTAATGCAAACCTTCTCACATCCTGATGCTCTTTCCTAACAGCCTTTAAAGGACATGCCAGAACAGTTCATTTACCTGCAAAACAGGCTCTACTGAGCGGACACAACTGAGCAGAGAGAAAGCTCACTCAGGTCCTGGTAAACCCTTCTCTAGTCTAAGTCATTCTTGAGTTACCAAAGTGCATGTGGAATTTCTCCATGTTTTGCTATGTGGGAATTCAAATGAGTAAAGAATCTTAGTGCAAGATATGTTGGACATTTGCAACTCCCATTCCCTTTTCTTATGGAATCATAGAATCCCAGGCTGGTTTGGGTTGGAAGGGACCTTAAAGCTCATCCAGTTCCAACCCCCTGCCACGGGCAGGGACACCTTCCACTAGAGCAGCTTGCTCCAAGCCCCATCCAACGTGCTTTGAACACTGTGAGGGATGGGGCATCTTGTAGAATTGTTAAAAGAAACAGTGCCTGTTGTGTGGCATTATCATCTCATCATTTTCTCTTCGTGCTGTTTCTATTCCAGACCACTTCTCCTTGCTGTCAAGCAGCTGTGCTCCCTCCCGCATCCCTTCCCCAGCACCATCAGTGGCTGGCTCTGTGACCTCCAGCTCGGGTTCCCTGCGGTACCGCCGGCCGCTCATCAGCCCTGCCCGCCTCAACCTGAAAGGCCAGAAGCTGCTGCTCTTCCCATCTCAGAATGATGCTCAGCTCACTCCATCTAGCTCAGAGGAGCACACCCACTCAGACAGCAACATCTTTGCCACCGAGCTGGCCTCCTTCCCAAAGAGGAACCTCAGCGAGCAGGGGATTCATGGTATGCTGGCAGCTTCCTGCTGTCTCGGAAACGCATTTGTAGGAAGGAGCTGGCTTCCAAGCAGAGCCACACATCATCTAGGTGACACAATAGGTGGGAAACCTTCAGGAAAAACCTAGATGGTGATGACTGCTGGGCTACCAAAGCTCCCTTAAGAATCCACTGGCCTGGAGAGCCTCAGATGTCCTTTTCTCACTTAGTGGTGCCCCAGGGGTACTACTGCCACTGTTTTCACCCTTGTTTGGATAACTCCTTTAACCATAGGTGTGGTGATACTGATATGGACAGTGTATGAGACAAGCATGCAGGCAGCTTCTGCTGCACAGCAGTGAAATTAGCCTTTTGCTTCCAGCCCCTGTCCTCAGTCCTTTCATGACTCTTACCAGGCAGCCATTCATTACTCATGTTCTAGCTTTATCCTGGTAACTTCTGCTTTTCTTGGTTTCTGATAGTGCCTTGTGAATTTCCACCTTTTTTCCTTGCAGATGTGAGATCTGCTATGGAAGGAGGGAGCATTTGCAGTGATAATTCCATCAAAAAGGAGGATCGTTCATCACACTCATCTACCTGTGTGGTTGACACAACAACCAAAGGAGAAGATTTGTCAGGCTGGAGAGGTAGGTGCAAGTCACTTGAGTGCTTCATATACATGTGAGCATTTCGGGGGGGGGTAACTGAGGTATTTCCTATGCTGCAGTAGTGATCTGATCTTCAGATCAAATAAACAAGTAGCAAAATGGATCTTCTGACTGCTATTCTATGGCCTTAATAAGGCTATTCCTGCTCCTTGGACTGTCTGAAGAATACTGGCAGAGGACTGAACTGAGACAGGAGAGGGGTGGGGATGTGGGTGTTGAGAAGAGCAACAAGATGAAAATGGAACCAAAGAGAGCAGTGGAATCTGTCCTGACAGAAGAGTTTCAGCAATTTCTGTTTATGGTGAAAATGCTGGGCAAAGAGAGAAAAAGAGCACAAGCAATGTTTGCTGTTATTTGTCTCATCAAGTCTTTAATAACTCTTTCTACTATTCCTTTTCTTTGTGTTGTCCTCTTCTACTAAGGTCATTTTGGTAACTCTGCTCTCCGAGGCCTGCTAGCCCTGAGTCTGACTCTCAATGCTATCTTCACATCAGCCTATGTCTACCGGAGCCTGCGTTGATTTGTGCCAACACTCCCCTTCTTTCTGGTTCCACCTGCTTCGGAGGAGACAAGAAGGATTCAACCATGGCTTCACGTCTAATAGCCATGCCACTGGTGCATGCTGGTTTTTAGTGAACTACTGTCTACTCACTTCTCATGACAAGGAACCCAGTTGCTGCTGCCATCACTTCCAGGTAGAACATAGCCCAGGATTGTCCCTGGAAGTGGCAGGATGCCCAGAGAGCTCCAGTTCAAAGTGAGAGGCCTGTCAAATGGCCCTTGTGCTTTCTGTCAAAGGAACTGACCTGAGAGACAAGCCTGAACATGTGTAAGCTGTGTTTATAGGAACCTATCCCCAGCTCTTCTTTCTGACACACGAACCTCATGCTGATGGTGCTGGTAAAATGAGGAGAACTGGAACAAAGGACCTGGAGAAGAGGGGTTGCTTAGTAGCTGGTGCTGGGCTTTGGCTACTGTAGCAGCATTCCCAGCTTCTTTGCCCAATGATTCCTCTTCTCTCTTCCCCTTGGCACTCTCCTCTAAATTATCAGTGAATTTTCTTTAGTTGCCTTAAGCTTGCCTAAGCCCATGGGTGACCTTGGCTGCTGTGGCATATTCTAGCTTCTTCTCTGTTCATGTGCTTCCAGCTGGGCTGTGCCCTGAGGCCACTTTCACCAGTTGCCATTCTGGTCGTGCTGGTTCTCACAAACTGCGCATCCCTCCAGCCAGCACCCTCGCTGCAGGAGTGCACAAAACCCCAGGCAGGCATCCGTTTGTGATTTGCATTAGGAGGAGGAAGCCCGTGCTTTGCTTTACCCAGGAGGCATTAATTCTGTTACAGTGAATTCTGTAGTGAGGAAGGATCCCTCTGTGATTTGCACCATGGTCAGAGGGCTTCAGCTCACAGCTCTGCTGGTGCTTTCACTGGAGCAGCTTGTTCTTGCTGTACACCGCACAAATCTATTCTATCAGAAGGTACATGAGGAGCTGTCTGATTGTGGACATTTATCCATAAACCTTCAGTCTGATACTGGGATTTGCTAAGTAACCATTGAAGATATTTCTTACTTAGTTCAATGCCAAGGTGCTCTCAGCTGGGAATGCCAAACCTGCTCCTGGACAATCCAGCCTTCTGGATAGATTCTTCTTTCCTAACCCGAAGGAAGTGGCCCTAGATTTCAAAAGCAGTTTGTCATCTGGGCACTTCTGCTTTTGGGTGAGACTTCAGCATTGCTTAGGATTCAGGGGCCATTTAAAGTATAGTGCTGAGTACTCATAATCATATAGTGCATCTTAGGAACAAAGAAGGTGTTGGTGTTTTGATGCTTAAATCCCAAGTGCAGAGAGCAGATCCACCAATGTGTCAAGGACATGTGGTGAAGAGAGAAAGCCAACTGCCATTAGCTGTGTGTTTCCTGAAGCAGGGCTGACTCTATTAAGATAGGGTTTTATTGTCCTTTCCTTTGGGCTCCTTTACCTCAAACTCCTGTTTCCTCTCCCTCACTGTTCTGTTTTTGCATCTTGAATTACAGTGTTACAGTGTCTTTTCCTCCCTTTCAGTACTGCTGCTGTTCTCTCTATTGTACTCTTGCATGTGCACAGAAGCAAAGTGTATCTGCTGGTAATTCTCTGTTCTGAATTCACACCTCAGAGTGATGATCACCCTTTCTTTCACTTCATTGTTTCTCTTGCATGTTTTGAGTTCCTAACACAGTACATCACGGGAGTGATAGCCAGACTCTGCTCAGCACGCTGTTTGACACATTAAATGGGGCTTTACTGCTGGTAAGTCAAGCACTGACAAATCTCCCTGTCTCTTCCATTTCTTCCTGCTATCTTTTAGCAGCCACTTCCAGGTGCTGCTCCCCATCCTCCCTAGTGAGGCCTGCTGATCTCCTGCTCTGCATCTTACAGGCAGAGGACAGACCTCTGCCCACTCGTGCTGATCTGAGACACTGTGGAGGTGTCACTTCTGACCCTGCACCTTTTTCTTGGCCTCTTTAGAGTGTTGGTAAAGGGCCACGCAGCCACCACCTCCTGTACAAAGGCCTAGATCCAGGATAGAGACCTGCAGCAGAAAGATGTGCTGCAGGTTGATGATGAGTTCTTTTGTAACCTGCATGAATTGTTGTAGCTAAACTGGACCCATAACCTTGCAGTTTAGAGATTTTTGTCCCCTTTATAGACTTCTGCGGGCTCACTTGAGCATGTGTATAGGCAAGATGCTAGCAACCAACTTAAAAGCTTCTATTTAGACTTCTGCTGTTTGAGTTCCATGATGCCCCGGTGCAGTGTGCAACATCCCATTCATGGATCCTTGTCCTGACTTCCAGCATACCAGGGGCCTCCTATGCAGAGACAAGCCTGCTGTGGGTTTGCTTGTCTTTATTACACCAACGGAAGTGCACTGTGACTTCATGTATGCAAACTTTCCACCTCCACCTCCCAGTCTGCGCTGAGCCTCACCATCGCACTCGCCTGGAGTCCACATTGGTCTCTGTCTCTACTGGATTGCAATACAAATGTTCTCCTCCTTTCCAGCAACCAAGGAGCTGCAGCCTCACAACACACCTCTTCTTGCTTGTATTCCAGAACTGGAACACTTTAACCTGTCACTGCACTTCTGGACCTGCTCGCTGAAACTGTTCTCGGAAGGGTGACTTTGTCCAAAGCAATATAAGGACTTTGGATTTTATTGCTGAAGAGGGAAGACAACCAACTATATTTCATTCTGGTGCTAGAACACTCTCCAGTGGTGCTTTCACGGTTGTGAAGCCTTTGCTTGAGCAGCACACACGAATACATGTGTGTATGTGTGTGTGTGTGTGTGTGTGTGCACGTGTGCATGCATGTGTATGGAAACACTTGGAGGGTTTCATCGTTTCAGAAGATCTGAGCCCATGTTTGTCTTACATTGTTGGCCTTAATCTAGCTCTTAGATACTGTGTCTATCTTGCTGCTGTTTTCTATGTGAAGCTGGTTTGGAGGGAACTGAAGTTTATGTGGCCCCCCTGTAAACGTCTGTGCCTGATGATGCTGATCTTCAGACAGGATTGGGCAGGGGTGAGATTTTATTTTTCTAATGTCTTTCCTACTGTAAAAACTGCTGGAGTGTATGGAATGGAAAAGATCCTGACAAAACGGTCTGATAGATCTGAGCATTACTTAATAGCAACAGTTAATGATTGTGTGGGATATAAATATGCTCCATTTCCAGACCTTTTCCATTACCTACCTCCCTTAAAAACATCCAGGTACTTTGCTTATGAACTTGTTGGGCACGTTCTGAGACCTTGCAGAGACTGTTGATGGTTTTGCTCTTTGGAATAGGAAGAATTTGGATTCTAGAGTCTGGTTCCAGTGCCGCAATGGGAGCAGTTTGGCAGATGCAACAAACACAATGCACACATCCCTTTGATGGGACAGAGAGGACTGGCAGAACAAGTTGCTGATTTCTGAAGGTTATCATATGTTTTTACATTAATTTTTAACATGCCATTGGTCACTGTGGCAATGTGGAAATCCCTCATTGCTGGCATATGTAGGCCAGATTCACTGGCTTTTCGGCTGTGAGTTGGCCTGTGAATGTTTTATTCCCACCCCCTCTTCTTGGGTGCTGGAAACACCTGTAAAACACTGCTGAACTTGACTGGGTTCCTTAAACAGGGCAGCTGGAATGAAGGGCTTGCGTTGCCTGTGGATGCTGCTAGATTTTTTTCTTCCAAGCACCATTCCTGGAAATAACCATGGTCTTAACCTCTCTCACAGACACTTGTTAGAACATTAGAAAGGGACAGTTTGGCCAATCCTACTTTTCTTTAATAGGCTTTGATTCCAGAAATTGCCATCACTGTGACCTGTGGTGGGACAAAGGGACAGAGTACTTGGGGATGGATTGGGGAGCTAGAGAGGGTGAGGAGGTCAACTCTGAGTCCTAAACCTGATTTCCTGTGAAAGACAAACTGTGTGTCAATGTGTGTCTGCTTGTGTGGGGAGCTCTGACACTGTACAGTTTAGTTCAATGCGCTCCAGGGGGGGCGGAACTGTTCCTCGGAGGTTTTTAGTTGATGCTTTGTGTTCAAAGAGGAATATTTTTCTTTAGAAAATAAAACCAGATGAGTTTTCACCTCGGTGTGATTCTGTTTCTGGGGAGCTGAATTTTTGGGGGGGGGGGAAGTGAGACATGATTTGTGCTTGTGTGTGTGTGTCTGGTCCAATTGACTTTGATCTCTTCACTCTTCTAAACCTGGCACAGACTAAGAGAAAGCACAAAGCTTGGTGAGCTTTGAAGGAGCTCATGACCGTGATTCAGAGATGGAAGGGGAAGTACATGGTTATGCTTTGAGAGCTTTCCATCAATGAAAAGGGAAATCAGCTACTGCCATTAACTGATGTTCTGAACTTCAGACTGTAGGATTTGTGCTCATTTGGCACTTCAGGGATATTTTTCCTCTGGGAAATGGAAAGTCTTTCCAAGATTTTGCTTTTATGTTGTTTTATGGTCTCTAATTTATGGTTTTATTTTGTAATGTAAATTAAGATGGGTGGCATAAGCTTTTAGACACGGGCTTCAAAGGCTGTTTGCCTCCATTTCTGCTTTTATGACTTATGCTTTACTTTGTTAGAATGTGCTGCTAGTTTGTTTTAGAACCTGGCAGTGTGTTCAGTCTTCTTAAATACCTGGAGAAGTTCTGTGTATTGCTGTGCAGGAGGGGATACACTTCACTCCTCCTTTCTCCCCCTGGTCCTTTAGTGCTAGAGACCAGTTTGGGCCTGGATCTGCTTTTATTTTCAACACTGGTGTTGTATGTAATTCCTTTCCCAGAAACCCAAACGGTGGTCATACAGGTGAGTCTTCCTGTGCTCCAGCAAAGAGCTTCCTTCTGCTGTAACAACCAGTAGGGATGTTTCATTCTTAATCATTTAATTGTTTCCATCTAGAGTGGAAGTTGTCTATCCAAAGTATTTTGATTTAAACCAGGAGACCTGGCAGCGTTGTTTGACCCTGAGCTACTGTTGGTAGCTTTGGTAATCTGAGAACAGCAGCCTGATAGTCACGGATGGTCTTCTGTACAGCCTTTGGAAAAGAGGAGCTGATTCCTTCCAGCCTAGTGAGTCACTTCTTTTCATTAAGGGTTGCTGGTGGGGTTTGGTTTTGATGAATTCATTAAGGGTGATCAAAGAAACACTTTTCCAAGGAGGACCTGTGTTTTAATGACGTTACTGGCATCATCCCACTAACAGTTCTTTCCACAAGGATGTATTTTGAACTATTTTGGGACAGTTTGGGATAGTCTTTTGAACTATCTGGGGACAAGTTTTTTCTTCTGTGAGTTCACGTATGTCTTGCCACGAGTGTCTTTACCAGGGGTATTTACTGACCTGTTAACTATACTGGTATAGGCACAAGGTGTGTAATGACAGGACAAGGGGGAATGAATGGCTTTAAACTGACAGAGGAAAGGTTGAGATCAGGAAGAAGCCACAGAGAAGCTGTGGCTGCCCCATCCCTGGCAGTGCTCAAGGCCAGGTTGGACACAGGGGCTTGGAGCAAGCTGCTCCAGTGGAAGGGGTCCCTGCCCGTGGCAGTGGGTTGGAAGTGGATGAGCTTTAAGGTTCCTTCAACCCAAACCTGTCTGGGATTCTGCGATTCTATTTGGGGAATAGCAGTGCTCTGCTCCCCACCTCCACCTTCCCTTCGGTACCTGCTGGGATGCAGCGCGGTGCCCATGGGGCAGGAGCATCCCGTGTAGGTCTCAGCAGAGCTCCTCACCCCACGGGAAGGGTAGGCAGCCATCCCCTCGGCCGGGTTTCTTGCAGGTGCAGCCCCAGCAGCGCGGGGATGCCCTCTCCCTGCCCCAGGAGCGGGCGGGGCCGGTGTCTGTGTGTCCCCCCCCCTCCTCCTGCGCCGCCCGTGTCCCGCTCCTCGGTGTTTGGGTTTGCGGAGCCGAAGCGACGGCGTGACCCGCCCGCGACCCCGAGCGGGCCGGGGGGTGGCGGGTGGCGGAGGGTTTATTGGGGCAGCGGCGGGGCCGGGGAGCACCGGGGCGCACCGACCATGGGGGAAGCGGAGCGCAGGGGGGCGGCCGGCCAGGACTTAGGGGAGATCCCGCAGAAGCCGCCGTACACGTACGTGGCGCTGATCACCATGGCCATCCGTGCCAGCCCCGAGCAGCGCCTGCCCCTCAGCGGCATCTACGCCTACATCGCTGGGCGCTTCCCCTACTACCGCTGCTGCCCCAAGGGCTGGAAGAACAGCGTCCGGCACAACCTCAGCCTCCACCCCTGCTTCCGCCGCCTGCCCCGCTGCCCCGGCCCCAACGGCCCCGGCCGCGGCGGTTACTGGGCGCTGGACCCGGCCTTCCAGGACATGTTCCCGGAGGGTGACTACCGCCGCCGCCGCCGCCACCGCCACCTGCAGCCGAGCCCCCCGCTCCCCTCTCTGCCTCCGCCGCCGCCGCCGCCCGCTCCCGCTGCCCCGTCCTGGCCGGTGCTGCCGCCGCTCCCCGCCTGCCCGCACCGTCCCTGCGCGTCGCTGGCGCTGCCCCGCGGCTGCCGCTGCCCGGAGCCGTCCGCCTGGAGCCCGCCCGGCTTCCCGGGGCTGCCCGCTTGGGCCATGCCCGACCTCGCGGAGCCGCAGTGCGGGGTCAGCAGCGAGCGGGGCGCGAAGCCGCACAGCGCCTTCAAGTGAGGACCGACACCCCCCCCCCCGCCCCGGCAGAGCTGGAGCCCGCATCGCGGCTCTGGCTGAGCCCTGAAACCTCTCCGCTGCTGGAAATGCACGAAGAAGATTGTCCTGGGAAGCCCCGGCTGCAGTGACTGAGCTGTGCCCCCTTGTTTCACCCCTCTGTGCTCTGGGGAGCGTGAATGGCGCTCTGTCAGGTTGGACTTGGGGGGTGTATTATGACTGTGTCGTTTGAGCTTTGAGGCGAGCCCGAAAGGCAGCTGCAGAACTTGGGCAGGATGCTTCAGCAGCGTCTTGGCTGTTCTCGAACCTGAAGTACCTGAAGGGTCCTGCAAATGCTCAGCCTCAAACGGGTCGTGCAGGGGAGTTATCTTTTCAAGTGCCCTTAAACTCATTTTGGGGCTTTTCTTTAAAGGGTTATGAAACAACAATCTGTGGATTTCTTGCTTAGGGGGGGACACGGGACAAACAACACCAAACCCCAAACATCGTTGGAGTAATACTGGGAATCTTGTGGGTTTGTGTTTGAAGTGAATCTGTCGGGGATTTTTCATGCAGTATTTTGTATTGTTGGTTGTTGTATACGTTTACATATGTATTCATTGTTAACCTGTTTCTTATAAACGATGTTATAATTACTATGTAAAGGTTTTTCCCCCTTCTGATTTCAGAGGGAGTAGTTTCTATGATTTTTCCTCAAGGGTTCAGAGGCAGAATAGTTTTCTAACAAGAACCATGTTCTGAGTTTGAGAGAAGAGTCCAAATACTGTTATGGGAAGAGCAGCACTTGCCCTGTGTTCTGTTTTATGACTTGTTTATTAAATAGAACTCCCTAAGAGCTGTGGCTTCAGAAAGTATGCAAACCATTTTGATGCTTTCTTGATCATTCCTGACAGAAAGCGTGTCTTAAAGCCACTTTTCCAGTTGTTATTTTATACTCACAAAGTGGTTCTGAATGTCATCTTTGAGCTCTAGTGATATGATGTAAATAATGCTGGAAATGCTGTTAGATTTAGCTGGGACAACAACTTTATGGTGGGATGCCAATGTATTAAAGATCCTGTGGTTTTATGGTTTTTCAGGTTGCTTTTTGTTCTCTTTTTGTGTCATTTTTGCTGTAGCTCCTGATAATCTTGAACACCAAACCACTTACTATGCTTTGAAAAGCTCCCTTTGGACTCTGGTTGTCAAATCAGTTCAGTCACCACAATGGAACATTAGCCCATAAAGAACTGTTGCATTTTGTAGTTGGTGGTGAGCGTGTAATAAATTCTTCCCCGGTTTTTGTTACAAATAAAACATTTCTGTTGTGTTTTGGCACAGTTTTTAAGTCCATGCTGCAGTTTAGAGTGTGGATGAATAGCACATGTGTGAAACTGCAGCTGCTGGATCTGGGGTATTAGGTTTGATCTCTGCACTCCCATTAATTCCACTGTGTGCAGAATTGGGGAAATAGGAATTGTTTGGGAAGGTCTTTCTGTGTGCTGCCCAGGTTGTTTCACCAGCTGAGCACCGAGTGCAGGTTATTGAGTGTGATGATGTTTCAGCTGGTGTCTGTAAAACAGGCCTTGCTCTTTGGAGCTTGGAAGAGCAGTAACTGTTTTCTTCTAAAGGACTCCTGTTTTAATCTAAAACAATAGGAAGATCAAATCAGTTTCTTGGATAACTGCTGTGGTTCAAACAGAACTGCCTACAGGACATGGCATGGCTGGTGTTAGTACAAACAGACCCAGATTTTCTCCTTGTGATGTTTCTTTATCCTACTCCATTGTAGGTGATGTGTGAAGAGTAGGGACCTCCACAGTCACACATGCACTCATTGTGCATTAACTGATTGTGTGCCCAGTTGTTAAATGATGTTTTGCACATGCATAAACTGACTTTGCCCTCATGCATGAACCAGTTGTGTGGTTGTGCGTGAGCTTTTAGCTCATGTTGGGCTCAGTATGCCCTCAGGTATAAGGTAATGGTGCCATCCTGCTTTCAGTGTGGTGTAGTTGGTCTTAGATGGACTTGGACCCTGACCTTCTGCTCTATTGTGTAGATACCATGTGAAGGGGGAAAGTGTCTGCTTTTTGCATGTGTGTGCACTTTCATACATGGATCTCTAGAGCTAAAAGTAGAAAGAAACCAAGTCTTGGGGGAGACTTGCTCAGGGTTTCCTCGATGGCTCCATCACATCCCATTCCTATTCCCCAGGTCCAACACATGGGTTTTCCTCAGAACCCTGTGGTGGGCCATGGCCCTGGGGGCAAATCAGTCTTGACTCAGGGAACTTTAACTCATAGCCAGTAACTGCAACTTGTGCTTGCTGATTTACGTACCGGGGAAAGAAGCCCACAAAGACTTAGGGAGATGCCTTTCCTCCCTAAGCTCAGTTTAAACTGAACCCTTATGCTTCTTCCTAGTCCCAATTTCCCTTGTTGCTAAGAGGTGTGCTC